CTCAGACCTATCTCTCACTCGCTCTGCTCGTAACTCCGACTTGAGCCTTTTGGGGTAAAAACGGACTTTAATCGAGTGTTCTCGACAGAGAACACTCGACTAAAGTCGGTTAGGACCTCAAACCCTTAAATTCGTACATAGCCTGAAGCTGGTTCCTCTAGGGTTTGCCTTCGTTTGAGATTCGACCTACTCCGCTCTGATTCGAGCAAAACTAGTAGGGGACTTGGGACGAGGGTGGGCTAGTAGTCAGAAGGTGTGAGTTTGGGAGGGTTTAGGTTAGGCGCCACCACCAGGGGATCTTGTGGCGGTGCTAGGGTTCTTGGCTCAAAATCAATATTCGAGCGCCTGGGACTAGATTCGAAGGAAGGGGAGGGTGGATTTGGAGAGAAGAGGTCAGGGCAGAGCTGTGGTGTAAAATTGGGGGTCATTGGACGAACTAGGGCCGGCCTTATTTTCGATCTAATATTCGAAGCAAACGGCTGGGATTCGAGGGATAAGGGTTAGGGGTTCTGATTGGGGAGGTCGAGGGGAATCAGTGGTGTAAAGATGGGGTCGTTTGGACCACCGGAACCGCCGTGAGGCGATTCCGGTGGGCGGAGCACGGTGGTAAGAGGCGGAGGATCTGTTTGGTCTCTGAGAGAGACGAGATAGGAACGGGGGGTATGGCTTAGGGGTGTGTGTGTGGGGTGAGAGGTTGGACTTATATACGGGGGAAGGAATTAGATCCTGGCCGTTTGATCAATTGAGATCAACGGCTAGGATTAATTCATTAATGAGAAACAGTACTGTTTGGTTTAAGTGGGGGGTTGGCTAGATCCGGGTAACGGGTCGAGTTTGGGAACGGGTAAGGGAGATTGAATCTCAGCCATTAGATCGATTTAATCCAACGACCTTAATTAAAAAGTGACCAAACGACGTCGTTTTAAGACGTCTCTGGCCAGGCCAACTGGACCTGGTAAATGGGTGATTTGGGCCTGATTTTTGGTCCAAAAATAATGGCCCAATCCGATTTTCACTCTTTTATTCTTTTTCTTTCATTTTTCTTTTAATTCCTAAATACCAAAATTCCTAAAATAAATTGTAAAAAAACAAAATTAACTTAGAAAATACTAATTGACCATTAACAATAAATATCGCACAAAAATAAAATATTAATTACAAACAAAATCGGGCACTTGGACATTAAATGCCAAAAATACAAAAAATATGTATGTTTTGTGATTTTCTTTATTTTAAAACCAAACTATGGTTAATTTATTCCTAATTGTAAAAAAATAAAAATCCTAAGTGCACATGCAATGTGTTTTTTTATTTTAATTAATTAAAACAGGATAAGTGTTCACAGACAAAAACACAAATAATTATCCAAAAATGCCACGCAAATTCTAAAAATTGTACAACACGGAAATTTATTTTATTTTTGATTTCTTTTGGAGTAGTTCTCATAGGGCAAAAATTACGTGCTTACAGTCATCACATATTATCTGATGATATTTACTGATATTTGTAGGGGTTGATTGACTCAATCCAAACTTTTTACCTGAGTCACATTTCAGATTTTATGTAAGATATATAGAAGCAAATTGGTGTAAGAGAGGGGTTCTGGCGAGTTCAAAAAATTCCTTTGGTCGGCTGCATGGAGTACTTATGAAGAGGACTTCAAAGTTTAGATAAAGAGTATGAGTCAAGTAGATGATGATGGAAATGAAGTTGTTGAGGATTTGTTAAAGTATCCACCAAAATATTGGAGTAGGGCATTCTTTGATACTATTTGCAAGAACCAATCTGTGGACAACAACTTGACTGATTCATTCAATGCATGGAGCTTGCAAGCAAGGCACAAGCCAAACATTAAGATGCTTGAGGATATTAGAATCAAGGTGATGAACATGATTAATGAACATGAAGCTGAGGTGATGACATGGGGAAATGAGTACAGTCCTAAAACCATGGAGTTGTACAACCAATTCATGAGGATGCATTGAAATGTCATGTTAATGGTAGTGAAGATAATGGATATGAGGAGACTGAAAGTAGTGACAGACACATTGTGAATCTGAGGTTAAAGAAATGCACCTGCAGGGCATGGGATCTTTGTGGCATTCCATGTCCTCATGCAATTTGTGCATTATTACACAAAAAAGTGGACCCTCTAAGTCAGATTCATTGGTACCTTACCAAAGAGGCTTATCTCCTAACTTATTCACATAAGTTACAACCACTAAGAGGAGAAAAATTCTGGAAAATTGACCTTTCACAATACATGGCTCCATCTCCTTTGGTAAAGATGGCTGGGAGACCAAAGGTTAAGAGAACAAGAGAAAAAAGAGGAAATTAATAGGCAAGGACAATGGTCTCAGTCAAGGAAATGGAGGGTAATGACATGTAACAACTGTGGTGAACCTGGGCACAATGCTATAGGGTGTGCAAAGGTAATTAATACTATAACTTTTTCTATCATTCTTTTTGTTTCAATATCTAATAAAAGCTTTCTTTCTTACTAACAACATTCTAAAGGAAAGCAGCTCACTGGAGGCAAGAAGAAGGGAAAGTAGACAAAAAGGAAGAGAACTTTACTTGATGAAGTTACTGATGATGAACAACCCATATCTCCCTCTCCTGCACCAGTGCCACAAGAAGCCACTGATGAGGAAATTCCTTTGTCAGCCCCTCAGCTAAGTCAGCCTGCTCAAACAAGTTAATCCAGCAACTTGTTGTTCTTGCCAACCCCTTCAGTGTAGAGGAAAGAACCAAGCTGCAGTGCCTTCCCAGACTTCGACTACCCAGATTTTGATACAGATCCTAAAATAGCTATAAGGCCAAGAAGTATCTTTGAGGCAGAGACTAGGCTACAATTGAGGCAACTACAAAGTACAACAATTGGAACAAGGGGTATTGGATTGGTTGGTGATGCCAGTGGTGTGATTGAGCCATCAAACCTTCCATTCTCACCAAAGAAGCTGCAATGGAAGGGAAAAAAATGCTATTACGAGTAACCAGCTTAACAAACAAAGATTGGCCAAGTTGAAAGCAAAGAAGGGTAATGGGAAGAAACAGACTTAATGCAATCTGGTGTTCTGGATGTGGAACTACTAAACTCTATTATGGTTGTATATTTTTGGTTGTGATGTAATTACTGTTAGCCAAGTAAACTTGTTATTTTTGGTTGTGTGACTGTTTAGTTAGTGACCTATTCCCTTGGATGTCATGTTATCACTTAGTTGTGTAAGTTTTTGGGGTGATAATGTGGCATCCCTTTGTTTGGAGTTTAATGTAGTTTGACTGTTTAGTTGGGAAAACTTGGATGTCATGTTGTCACTTGGTTGTGTAAGTTTTTGGGGGTGCTAATGTGACATCCCCTTGTGATGAAGCAACTATTAGTTTATGAATTTAAGTGTTCGTTTTATTGTTATTCATTGTCCAACTATTAGGTTTATGGATGGTTTAAGTGTTCGTTTTATTGTTATTCATTGTCCAACTATTAGGTTTATGGATGGTTTAAGTGTTCGTTTATGAATGGTTTAAGTGTTTGTTTATGAGTTATAGATGCTGTCCAACCCTTCATTGTCCAAGATTTAGGAATCTGCAGGTTAATCACCATTAAAAACTGCCCAAATTTTGACAGAGACAATGCCTTCAACACATATAATTTGTGTGCTTTTGTAACTGCTACGTTCATCAGCCCATAACATCAACTATAATATAGCAGGTTCATCACAATTGGTGCCCTCGAATACATACACAAAATACATAAATATTAGAATTACATTAACTAAGATTACAAGCTCTAATGTAAACGGTTCAAAACAACATACATAACGCCTTCTCTTCCAATTTCAAACGAGAATAAAACTGAAAACAAGACATATTCACTGAAAAAATACCACAACAATAGACATCAACAAGATTCACCAACATTCACTTCATCATCGACGCCGCAACAAATCCAACAAAAAGTGCCCATGAAATCATAAGCATCATCCTCGTCTTCAAAACCTTCTCTTCCAATTTCATTACTTTTGCAGCTTCAGCTTGGTGTAGAGCCTCCATGACAATTAATTCTTCTTTCAATTTATCCTTATCATTTTTAATCGCTTCCCAAGACGATGTTAGATTTTTAGTTGTAACCAAATCACTGTTCAACGAGATTTCATCTTCCCATTCAAAATAACCACAAGAACGATTCTGTCGAAGACAAAAAAAACAGAGAAGAAACTAAGATCGTTAGTATTAGACTATAATTTAGAGCAAACCGTACTAATTTAGAGCTTTTGTTAGAGAATCACTAACCTTAAGCTTCAGACATTTAAAAAATCGTCTTCCAGGGTTTAATGGAGTCGTTGAAGTGAAGTGGTTTGCAAATATGCCACAACGACACCTAATTTGGGAAGAACAACTTCCTTGCGACATTGAAGACTGAGGAAAATAGGATTGAGTTCGTGTGAGCCCTAATTCTTTGAAGACAGGAATGTAATGAGTCTGTGGGGTTTTAATTTGGTGGGGTCATATCGACATGGCAGCTGACATGGATAAAATTGATGGAGTTAGCTGCCATAGTGTCAAAACGTTAAGGTTAGGGGTAATTTTTAAAATTTCATTAACGGTAAAGACGAGAATGGACGAAAAGTATAACGGGTGGCAGAAGTAAACAATTAACAATAGTAAAAGGATACTTTTGACCCTTTTCCCTACAATAAAATAGGTGGCAACCATCCAAACAGGCAGTTAAATTCTCAAAAAGTTTACATTTGTTCCACTAAATTTGGGAAACTCTAAACCTATATCTCATTAATTTGTAACTTTGACATTAATAATTAATAATTACTAATAATGGAAAAGGGTCAATGCTGAGTAATATTTAAAATGGAAAAGGGTCAGGGTGATAAGTAATAGCCATAGATTCTCATGGTAGAAAAAGTATAACTGAAATTTCCCCTCAGCTCCAACATACTACAGATGTTAAGAAAACAAATGCAAATGTATTTCAATCACCATTGCATCTTTTTTAGCCCTTACCCTTTTAAACTGTCTATTTCTTTTCAGATCAAAAGTCTTCATCTATTTTCTTCCAGTTTTTCAGGTAAGCATTTGCTGGTTTTTTTTCTTTCTTTTTTCTTCTCTGCGTTTTCGTGCCGAAAGATTTAAAAAAGAAAAAAGCACATTTTCTATGTTATAAGGGTGAAAGGAAAATAAGATTAGATAATCCTAATGACTAAAGTGAGTTAGTGATATAATATAATTTATTATGTTCATCATGGAATTCACATGCTAATTAAATTAGATCCATCCTTGTACGTCCAGGAATTCACATAAATTCATTTCCGTTTGCACTTTTTTCTGTTAATTTAATTATCCAGTCCTCACTTTCAAATATTTTCTTTCTAATGTAAGTGCATCAAATCCGAATGTGCAGGGGTCTTTGGTTGAATCGAGTAAATATGGCTGCATCCGCCTCTGATGTTTTAATAGTTTTTTCATAATAAAGATGTTGTATTAGGCAAATGATGTAAGAATTAAGCATGCATGAACATTATATTGTTTTATTTGATGCTAATAATGTTTGGATACACAGACAAGTTTTGTTTATTTCTGAATTTAAGACGATTAAATATGCATTTCCTCATGGCTATTGCAGATGCTGGTGTGCCTTGTTTCAGAATGAGCGGTCATTGTGATGCCAGCAGTCAATCGTAGCAGGGTAGGGTTAAGATCTGCGTAATCTCACTTGTTGGAATTCACTAGGTTTGTTGTTGCTGTTGTTATAGTGCATCTTAAGCAGTACATCCCTTTGGAATTATGGAAGCAGAATTGGCGAAACAACGTTTGAAGGGTTGCATGAAGGCATTTCAGAGTCATATTGATCCTGAAAAGGAAGAACAATTGAGATGCATAAAATTAGGTAATTAGTCTATTGCAGAATAGTCTCAGTCCTTTGAATATTATAGGAGACTGGATTTTAGAGATATAAGGGATGGCCGTCGGTACACAGTAAGTAGTTCATCATGTCATAGGTTCGAGCTGTGGAAACAGCCTCTTGCAGAAATGTAGGGTAAGGTTGCATACAATAGACCCTTGTGGTCTATTGTGGTCCGGCCCTTCCCCGGACCCCACGCATAGCGGAAGCTTAGTGCACCGAGCTGCAAATAGCACTTCTACTTTTTTCCTGCCTTCTTAAGTCCTAACTTGAGGAGTTTGTTCTTTATTGCAGAGATTGAAAGCAAAGTAAAAAGGATTGTAAAGCTGAGCAAGAGTATACACAAAGGAAGTAGAGAAGGGAACTTAAGGAGAAGATCAGAACTTATCCAACTTGTCGATGATTTTCACAAACAATACAAGTCCCTCTATGCTATGTATGAAAATGTCAGAGGGGAAATAAAGAAAAAACTTTGCGCCACAAACGACGATGATGCTGCATCTTCATCTTCTTCAGTTTCAGATTCAGAAGCATATCATTCCCCTTGGCAATTCGCTGGCGAAAGCAGCTCATACTTTTCCAATGCTGCAAATTTGGAAACTGCAAGTTTGGATTTGGATTCATTACCTGATTCACCAATATCTTCTGGTCAAGAACCGGAGTCTGGAGATTTTTTCAAGGACCTGAGCAATCAAGGCAAAGAGATAGAGAATAGCATGACACAGAAGTTGATAAATGAATCGGCTTGGTTAAAGGAGATTGTAACAGAAAAAGAAGAAGAAATCCTGTCTCTTACCAAGAAATATGAGGTTCACGAGAGCGAGAGGCTTGCTCAGATGAAGAAGTTAGAGGATCAAATCGCTACGATGAAGCTTGAGCTTGAAACCTCATGTGTACGCAAGAAAGAACTTGAGGATCAGATTATGTGCAAGTCGAACGATATTAAACAACTAGAAGAAAGTAATACAGGGTTGCAAGCTCAAGTCCAAGAATTTGAAGCAGCATTTAGAGATAAAGAAGATCAGTTTTCTGATATTCTTACAAAGTTTGAGGAAAATCAGATCAACTCAAAGTCTAGAATTGATGATTTGATGGCACAGGCAAATAGTCTGCAGCAAGAGTTAGACTCTTTACATACTGAAAGGAATGAACTAAAACATAAACTGTTTATACAAGAAGAGCTCAAGTCCTTAAGCGATAAAAAAACTGAGTTGGAGTTATCACTGGAAAAGAAGTGTCATGAGGCAACTGTCGAAGTTAAGGATTTAACCGAAAAGGTTGAGTTTCTGCAGCAGGAGTTGGAAACCTCGAGCCATCATAAATCAGCACTAGAGTTGACACTCAAAGAAAAGACTGAAGAACTATCAGACTGTCATCTCCAGATTGATAATTTGAGAGAGAAACTAACAAGCGCCATTTTGGTTGAGAAGGAAACACTAAAAGAGAACGAAGGCTTAAAAGTACAGGTAAAAGACTTGAAATTGGAGGTAGACTCACTATGCAGCCAAAAGAGTGACTTGGAAAAGGAAATAAGGGATATAAACCGAGAAGCTTATCGTTCAAAGTTAGAAAAAGAGGAGCTAAGTGATAAGATGACAGAGTTAGAAACCAAACTACTAGAGAAGAAAGAAGAGCTCTCAACTCTTCAAAAGAAACATGAGGCCTACGCGAATGATATGTCCCGTCAGAATGCATCTTTGGCAGCACGAATTAGCACGATTCAACAGCAGCTGCGAAATGGGGAAACTGAAAAAATTCATTTACAGTCACAGCTTGAGAAAGAGAAACACGAGTCCTTTCATAGCCTTAATGAAATGGAAAAGAGAAACGCTGAATTGACAACGAAGATCACAGATCAGGAGAAGTCACTAAGAGAAAATGAAGATACTATTAACAAATTGAATGAGGAACATAAGCAAATGAAGACCAGGTTAGAAGAATCCAAATCCAATTTGCAAAATGCTGAAAGGAAAATAGAAGAAATGACAGAAGAACTGCGCAAGAAGTTTGAAGACGGTTTGAGAATCTTGAGTAGAAGGATCCGCGTGGCAGAACAAATGCACCTTGAGAACAAGGAGTGGTACCAGAAAACAAGAGACTCGTACGAGAAAGAAAATAATGATCTAAAAGAAAAGAATGCAAGTTTGCAATTTGGGATAAGGGGTATTAAGGATATATCATTGACAGCAAACGACACGCTAGCTTCACTAGACACAGTGGCTCTAAAATTTGAAGAGTGTACAGCTCATTTCTTTAATCGAATATCCAAGGTATCTTGTGAGCTGAAATTTGTAAAAGATTGGGTTATGAGAAAAAATAAAGCGATAGTACATGTCCAAGATGATCTAGATTGCTTACTTGCACAGTTGGATGACAAGGAAGCAGAGATATTAGTGTACAGAGAGAAAGTTTGGAAGTCAGACAATAAGGTAAGAGAATTGGAGAAAATGATAAAGGAGAAAGACGACGGGATGTTAGCTCTCAAGGAGGAAAAGAGGGAAGCCATTCGACAACTATGTATATGGATTGATTACCATCGAAGTCGCTCTGATTATTACCAAAAATCACTTTCTGTCTTTGGCAGTAGAAGGAATCTTTAGGATTGTTCTTCAGTTATATCATCAATATCTCTAGGCATATATAGTTGTATGATGAAAAGACATGCACAGTAGTAGGCAGCACTTGTCAATCATCATATTTAGATAATTCTGCAGGCTTGACAACTTCATTCTTCTTGTTGGCCTGCTTAGAATTTGTAGCTTTTCTCATATGTGGACGTGGGTGTAACCAAATTTGTTGCTCAATTTTGGCATTCGTATTACTGACATCCTGTGTTTTTATATATATATATTTGCTTTAGGCATTCGTTATTTGAAATCTATTGCGCATCGTTTTCTTTTTACAGAGTTATCAAACAAGTAGCTGAAACTTGTATAGTGCTTGAAAGTAAAAGAGCAAACAAGCTCGATAATATAGAATCGTAGAGCAAAGATATAGTAGTACTAGTACACATTTAGTGACAAGGATCAGGCCATTATCAATGCAAGACTTTGGAGATGAACCCAATATTAATTTGTTCAAACAGGCAAAAACAACAACCCAGTATAATCCCACAAGTGGGGGACGACGAGAACAAGTAAAAGAAATATAATCAAAGCCACATTCGACCTGCTATCGAGAATGTGAAGGAGCTAGCAGAACACGTCTTCTGGCGAAAAAGAATATCCCATTCGCACAATGTACAAATCCAACCATCAGAACACTCAGAGTCACAAGCACATGGTCTCCAGCAAGTCAGATCATTTGGATGAGAAACTAGTTTCCTTTCTAAGCCTCTAATGCCATGATTCGAGCTGTCTCTCGTAGCAATTGCTTTTGTTACTGAGGACGAAGCAAGATACTCTGTAAGATCATGACTAAAATCAATTTAAAAGGGAATACATTAGAACTAGATATATATGATACGCACCTAATACAAATTTAGAGAGCAAGAGATACAACAACAACAACATACCCAGTATACTCCCATAAGTGGGATCTGGGAAGGATAGTATATATACAGTCCTTACTCCTACCTTGTGAAGGTAAAGAGACTGTTTCCGAAACATCCTCGGCTCAATACAACAAAATCACAGCAGTTACGACAGAGAACTGCGGCAAACGAAATAGTAACAACAACCAGAAAATAAAACGAAGCAAAGAGAACACTAGTACTAGAACTAGGGAGGAAGTACAGGTGTGGAAAGGAAATAAACTCGACTACTAACTAACCTATACCCTAATCGTCGACCTCCACCCCACTATCAAGGGTCATGTCTTTGCTAAGCTGAAGATGTGCCCCAGCCCCGACCGAGGACATGACCTTAATCTACCATTATTCACCAAAGCCACTACAACAGGTAATTAACGAATTAGAGAGCAAGAGATAGAGAGAGTCAATGACCAGCAGTCATCATGAGGAAAACCGTGAAGAAATGAGCAAATCATATGAAACAATATATTATTTACAGAAATTGAAAGATAATAGTAAGTGTTCTCATGAAATATCACATAAATATATAGAACTTCCCTTCTTCACTATCTCTAATCCTTCCCTCTCTCATTAACTACTCTAGCAGCTCCCACTTGAGGTTTTTAATAGGTTTAATGCTCAGAAAGAAATTTAATAAAAGTTGACGCATTAATAAACAAAGTTGATGCAATATATATCAGAATATTTTTTTATTAAGAAAAGAAAACCAAACATATTCAAGGCTTAATAAATCATAAATCGGAACTCGGAATCCACACATGTCACGCATTAAATGCTGTGTTAATATAATGGATTGCAATGTTACGTTAATTAAATCTTAATGTTAGTAGTTGACTGCAACTAATCACGTGAAATATAAACAAATGTAACTTATACTTTACGTTAAACATGAGTTCACGCATTGTATTATTTTATTTCTTTAATTTAAGGGGTTGTTTGGTTTGAGATGGAGAAATTAAGCACAGAATAAAACTTTGTGCTGGTTAAGGAGGGACATCTGGTAATCCAGATTGGATTATGAAACTCTGGTTTAGATTTCTATTGAAATTTTTACAATATCTATGTTACATTATGAATCCAACTGCCACTAATAGAGAAGTTCTCATTTAATTATGTATTATGCAGGGCAGCCGGTGCATTACGTGATTGCAAGGGTCTATTGTACGCAGCCTTACCCTGTATTTCTGCAAGAGGCTATTTTCACGGCTTGAACCCGTGACATCCTAGTCATATGGCAGCAACTTTACCAGTTACGCCAACGCTTCTCTTCTACACATAATTACTACTTTTATACGAAATAATCTATTAGGCTCCAATTTTTTCCCTCCTCTTGTACTTAGAAACTACTATCAATCAAAATTTCAAACCTACTATCAATTCCATCTCTCATGTATCTTATCTCAGCGAAAACGAAGGGTGGTTTCCCTGTAACAATTGAGGAGAGTAACATATATTTTTCTATCTTTCAGCTACCATGGACAGAAAACATATATATAAAAAAAATGCATAAAATGCTTGTGCTCTTTTTACGTAGCATGGATTATTATATACATTGTGGTCTTAACTATCCCCTGAACTTGACTATTTAATAGTCATTACCTCCCTGGACGCTGATGTAGCAAAGAGGTGTGAATACATTCTCTTTTAAGCGCGTGAGACTAAAGAAAAATTAGCTTCCAAGTGAGTTATTTTTTGACCGTTATAATTAATTGCCGTATAGTCATATGTAATAATTTATTTGTTACAATTATGTATCTTTTTTTTTGCTCATCTTAATATTCAATGTGTAATTTACCTTAACTTTTATTATTTTTAATTTCTTCTACGGATATAATGTCTATTTATTCTAACTGCATATTGATCTTCTCTTTTGGGCAAAATTTGTAAATTTTTTGGCTGGAACTCCATCATTTTAGACAAATAAACTTCTAGCTAAATTAATAGAGTATTAATTATGTATCTCTTGGTATTTTCCTTTAGATATAATAATTATTTGTTTGAATTGTGTGTCTTTATTTTCGAGCCAAATCAGTAATTTTTTTTGGCTTCAACTCCATTATTTTTAACCACATAAAGAAGGTACAACCAAAATAATGAGCTTGTAATTGTGTAACTTTTTATTTCTTCATTAGAAGCAATAACTATTTTATTTCAGTTGTGTATTCTTTTCCGGGCAAAATCTATGAAAAATACTTGCTTCGAGCTCCATAATATTTAGCTAAATAAAAGTTTTTAGCAAAAATAATAAAGTGTTTAATGCTATGTTTTTATATCTTTTTTCGATGCCATAACTATTTATTTTAATTGCGTTTTATTCTTTTTCTGGTCAAATCTAAAAAAATTAACTAAAACTTCATCTTTTTTAGCTAAAGAAAAGTTTCAACTTAAATAAAGAAGTTCTGACCAAGTTTTATTATAAATTTTATTTGATAAAGATTATCTAAAAAGGAATACGCTTAAAAAGTTAAAAGATGTTTTTTATTATTCAAAAATGCCACATGAAAAGGATAAATCCACATGGCAATCGACTGCATGCCACTTTCTTAGGATGAGATTGTCTAGGGGATAACAACTGTAACGACCCGACCGGTCGTTTTGAGCATTTGCACTTTGCTCGGTAGTAGCTCCTCATGATGTATTATGACTTGTGTGAATCGTCGATTTTGGTTTTCAGGTTATTCAGAATCGATTTGGAAGAACGATTCTCAACTAGGAAGCTTTAAGTTGGAAGAATTGACCAAATTTGACTTTTGTGAATTTGACCTTGGAACAGAGTTTTGATGGTTCCTTTAGGTCCGGATGGTGATTTTGAACTCGGGCGTATGCTTGGATTTGCATTTGGATGATTCTAAAAGGTTTCGACACAAATTGGTGAAAGTTGGAAATTTGAAGGTTTGGAAAGTTCATAAGTTTGACCGAGAGTTGACTTTGAGGATATCGAATTCGAATTCAGATTGTAGTTCCGGGAATTTGAATAGCTTCGTTATGTCATTTGGGACTTGCATCCAACATTTGGGTTCAATCTGGGTTAGTTTACTATGTTTCGACACGAGTTATGGAAGTTAAAAAGTTGAAAGTTCATCAAGTTTGATTTGGGGTGCGATTTGTCGCTTCGTTGTTGTTATGTATGATTTGAGGCCTTGAGTAGGTCCACGTTGTGTTATGAAACTTGTTGGCATGTTTGGACGGGGTCCCGAGTGGCTCGGATGAGTTTCGGACGAGGTTCGGATCATTTTCATTTCATGTTGCATTGCTGAAGATTTTTGGTTCTGGTGTTTCCGCATCTGCAGAAGAATGGACGCAAATGCGAGTTCGCAGATGCAGACAATTGGCCGCAGATGCAGACAATTGGCCGCAGAAGCATAGTAGGCTTGGCTGGAGATCATCGCAGATGCATATGAAGAGCCGCACCTGCGAGTGCGCAGAAGCGAAAATTGTTCCGCATGTGCGAGGGGTCGGCTAGTTAGTTGTGGTCGCCGAAGCAAAACAGTTACCACAGATGCAACGATTTGTCCGCAAATGCAGAAATCACTGGACAGAATGTTATAAGTTCGAGGGTTGGTCATTTTTATCATATATTGAGCTATGGACTTCGGAATGGAGCAATTTTTGGAGCAATTTTCATCATACAGTTAGGGGTAAGTGTTCTACACTCTGTTTTGATTACATTTCATGAATCTATCTTCTTTTTTGGCAATTGGTTGATGAATTTTAAAGAGAAAAATGGGGGGTTTTAGCCTAAAGTTTCATAAAGCGAATTTTTGAGTTTTGAACATCGATTTAGAGTCGAATTTGAGTGAAACTAGTATGGTTGGATTTGTAATTGAATGGGTCGTCAGATTTTGTAAATTTTGTCAGGTTTCGAGGTGCGGACCTGGGTTGGGCTTTTGGTCAATTTTGGGCTTTTGATTAAAGATTCAACCTTTATCGATTGGGTTTGTTTCCTTTGGCATCATTTGATGTACTTGAGTTACTTTTGGCTAGTTTTGAGCCGTTTGGTGGTCGGTACATGCGTGATAGTACTGTTGGACCATCGTTTGGCCTGCTCGGTATTGGATTTAGCTTGATTGAGGTAAATAACACTTCTAAACTTGGTGCTGAGGGTATAAAACCTCGAATAACGTGTTATGTGTTTGATATTGAGGTGACACACATGCTAGGTGATGGGCGTGTGTGCGTGCACCATGTGAATTATGACTTTGATATTTCTGTGGTACTGTATAGTTAACTGACCATATCTGTAACCATGAAATCTCTATGTAGTAGAGCTATTGAGCTGTGATCCATGTTAGAATCCATGTCTAGGCTATATGCTTATCCTGTTGGGACCCACTGAGGTCGTTTCTACTGTTGAGCTATCTGCTTTCATCGTATTACATACTCAATCATACAAATACATATGCATATCATATCTCAATCTCTGTTACCATTTATTGATACATTACATCATTATTTTTGGGCCAATTTTTATGACATTAGGAGCCCGAGAGATTGATGATTGAGTGAGGCTGAGGGCCTGATGGTGAGGATGTTTATGGGATCGGGTTGCATGCTGCAACATGTTTTATTGATTTATGATGGGAGCAGGTTGCATGCCGCAACATGTTTTACTGATTTATGCCATGATTGACTTGTTATAGCGCTTGGGTTGAAAGAGACCCTCTAGAGTCTGTAACACACCCAGTGAGCAAAGGTACCTACTGAATGCGAGTGTGGAGTGACGAGTGATTGGGAGGACTAAGTGTCTATGAGGACTGAGTGGCTGTGAGGACTGAGTGACTGGGAGGACTGAGTGACTGGGAGGACTAAGTGAATTAATACTCTGAGAGTATGCATTTTTCCTCATGTTGTACGATATTACGTCATTTATGACATCTCACACATATTGCTATAGGCATAGAGATGTATTTTCCTCATGTCATTTGAAAATGAAGCATTTACCTTGGAAAGTTTTTGGAAAAATTATAGTTTTCAACTTACTCATACTTTTGGCAAATTTCGATAAAAGACTTGGGTTTTCACTGTTATACTTGAAAAGGAACTATTTTGAGAAACTATGAATAAGCTGAGCTTCTTATTTCTGAGTTACTTCTTTTATTACTTGCTTTACGTTGTTATGAACTGTTGTTGGCTATTGGTGTTGGACCCGACCTTTGTTCCAGCTCATCACTACTTTCAACCCAAGATTAGGTTTGTTACTTATTAAGTACATGGGGTCGGTTATACTCATACTACACTTCTGCACCTTGCGTGCAGATGTTGGCTACTGATGTTGTTGTGTTCGATGGGAGCTGGATTTGAAGACGTACCTGCATTCTGATTGTAGCTGCCTCTTGTTCATGGTAGCCTTAGATTCATAAAACTCTGTTTATGTACTTTTCGAACAGATGATGTATTTACTTCATACCAGTTTTGTAATTCTATTCTTAGAAGCTCATGATTTGTACTACTAGTCCTTGAGAAATGTATAGGATTCAGATAATTTTTTTTCACTTAACTGTCTTATTAGATATTATTGGAATTGGATAGTTGCTAATTGGTTTACC